ATTCTGGAAGAAACTGGAGGAAAGAGTGGGCATAAACAAGATCAGGATACAGTGTATAAAATCCTCCACAATAAAAAATTACTAAATGCCTACCATGTGCCAAACTTTGGGTCTTGAGAAGAGGCAGACAGCATAGCTATAATGCCCACCTTCCCAATGGATCTACTGTGGAGAATACCCATCGCATGGAATCCTTGGAAATCGAGGTGTTGTGATGTACACCCAAAGATCTTGACCATAATATCCATCTTCTTCTCTCTCCCATAGCAGCCCAACACTGTTGTTCAACTAGACAGTCACACAACTTCAATTCATTCTACTAGTTCATACCTTTGTAATATATTAAATAAATTAAAGGGACATAAGAAATTTGGTATGAAGTCATAAAAGATGGGACACAGAGGCTAATCTTAATTGGAATGTACTGAGGCTGTAACTGCAACCAGTAGTTGAACCGCCCCATCTAAATGGGGAAAGGTTGAAATATATTAACTTTCTATTATTTCTTTAAGATTGTTTTTTTTTCTACATGAATAGTATAGATGTTGCCAAGCCACTTAATAAAATTTGTCTGCATTCTCATATTTGCTCAAACAGGTTTTAAGTGTTCCTAAGGCTTTTGAAAATGTCATAAGATAAATTTACATTAACATTTTGTACATTTATAAAAGGCTAGGAAAACATAAAACTTCATTTGTGATTTTGGATTTTATTATTGGAAATAGCACAAGAAATAGATACTAGAATAACTGTTTTTTAAATAATTGCTCTACTCATTAAAAAGGAGACATAAAAAGACAAGGATTTCAAATACATTTACATTGTATCAGTGTATGAAATTGAAACAGGACTATGGGACTAGGAAATTTGAAATTCTATTACCAGTGACTTTCTGTAAACATAGTTTGTGTGACCTGTGGAATTTGACTTTAATAACTAATGATTATTCACCATGGGTCTGGTCTTTCTGAAACAACATCTAGGAGCACTACAATAAAAATATTTAAAATAACATAAAATTTAAAACTCTTCTCAATTTAGGAGTTTCATATACAAATTTCCAACATGGATCAAATAGTCAAAAATGCACTGAGAACACACACACATAAACCCAACAAAGCAAGCAGAGATTGATATATGTTTACATTTTAATACTTGAGAAAATATAAGTTAAAATGGATACAAATACTTCTGGCACAAAAAAGCAGATATATATACAAATTCAATTTCATGTAGAGTGTATGAAACTTGGATATAAGAATACATCATAACCTTTATTAGCTCCTTTTAAGGAAGTAACACTTTAAATTAGACAGCTATAAAAAGATCACACAAGAAATTATTTTCTCCAAAATATTCCTTTATCCACTAAGAACGACAGCTGGATATGGTGGCTCAAACCTGCAAACTCAGTACTCAGGAGGCTGAGCCAGGAGGATTGCTATGACCTCAAAGCCAGCCTGGGCTACATAATGAATCTTGTCTAAGAAAAAAAAAAAAAAAAAAAAACGCTTTAAAGAGGTGATGACATTTCAAGGTCACTAATTACTCCAAAGCATTCTGACAGTACACTTTTTATTCACTTTGTATCCCAGTGGTAGCCTCCTCCCAATCCCGCCCTCTCTCCCTCATCTCCTCCCATGCCCCTCTCCAAGTCCACTGATAGGAGAGGTCCTCCTTCCCTTCCATCTGACCTTAGTCCATCAGGTCTCATCAGGACTGGCTGCCTTGTCTTCCTCTGTGGCCTGGTAAGGTTTCCCCCCCTCTCAAGGGGAGGTGATCAAAGAGCCAGCCCCTGAGTTCATGTCAGAGACAGTTCCTGTTCCCCTTACTAGGGAATCCACTTGGAGATTGAACCACAATGTAAAAATAATCATTTCACTTTCCTGTTAAGTTTTATGTAATTATACATTAATAAATTATAGCAAAGAAAAATAAAAACATCTATTTAAAAAATGCATATTTTGTCTTCCAGGTACTTCAGCATCTTATGCTTAGTATTTTGTTTTATTAAATATTAAACACAAAACCTTAGATGATTTCATGTCGTTACTAAGAAGAAATGAATACAACTGCAATATAATTTTTTTTAATTGTGGCAGAGATTCATCAGCTCCTTTAGAAAACTTCAAAATATATTACAATGGATTTAATTTTTTTAATTTGTGAGAAAAAAGATTTAAGATGTATTTATTCATTACATGTATGATGTTTTGCCTGCATGTATGTGTACCATATGCATGCTTAGTGCCTGTGGAGGCCAGAAGAAGGCATCAGATATGCTCTACAAAATGGTGGATGGTTGTCAGCCACGATGTGAGCTCTGGAAAAGGAACACAGGTCCTCTGCAAGAATAACAAATGTTCTTAATTGCTGAGCCATTTCTTCAGCCCCACGGGATTTATTCACATAAAACCTACATATGGGGAAGACAACATACACAGAATGGGATAATTCATCCTAAATGACTATAGTTGGATAAATCCCCCTCTGCTGAAGAACAAATACACTTTATTTTCCAAATGAATAACTCTAAAGTTAATTCTGGAATCTGTGCCATCTGTCTGGGGAGTATCTTTATTCTTGATTACTCAGCACAAAAGATAACATTTATAAAATTGTGCAATCCACTGAACCACAGGCTAGGTCTACCTATAGCATAACTTACAATTTTCTTTAATTCTCAGACATTGCAGATCCAGAAACAGTTTATGATCCTCTCGATGGGGAGTAACCTCTATGAAGGTACAGGTGCTCCTCTGCTTTCTAAATATTGCCATTCTCGAGGCCCCAGATGGAAGGAAACAAGCCTAGTACTTGGTGGCTCTGTTGTAAGTATCTGAGATCTTTGATCGTACCCACAGTCCTCGGGTATACCCCTGGGGTATAAAATCACTGACACTTACACAAGGTTCTCCTGCTGTACAGCTAGAGGATGCCGGCAGCCAGCTAAGATGCTTAGTCACTCACTCATTGCACTTCTGTGTAAACTATCTTGTTTGGCTTTAGAAACCCTATTTAAAGGGGCTGGAGATGAAGCTCAGTGGTGATGCTTATCTAGCATGTGGGACACCCCAGAATGCATCCTCAGTATCACAAAGAAAATAAAGGAAGAGAAAGAGGATGGGCAGGAGATAAAACAGAAAGGAAGATAGAAAAGAGAGAAGTCAAAATGCCAATTTGTCTTTTTTTTTTTGAGACATGTCTCCAGGACATAGCTGAAGATGACCGTGAATTTCTGATCCTCCTGCCTCCATTTCCCAAGCGCTGGAATTATAAGCATGTAACACCATACCTGCTTTTCCCCCTAAAGCTTATGAAACTGATAATATCATAACGTTACTTAAAACCTTAAAACTTAGCACAGTACATTAATACACTTGAAATAGTGACAAGCCTGTACATAAATTATTTACAGTGTCCCTGTGGGTGGAAGGAATTCATGCTGTCATTATACCATTGGATGTTCCTAAAGAGAATCTGCCTACAGAACAGAAGGCAACACACATACACTGATACACTGTCTGTCTGCTGGCCCCTGGAAAACGGAGCACAATATAGCTTTATTGAAAAGATTAACATAATTTGGAGAACCTAATTAAAATCAACAGTGTGCTATCAAAAGAAGTACACGTTGCCTGATAGAATGTGTGCACAGATCACTAATTCTAAGACTCTCAACACCACCGTAACTGTACGTGCCTACGGACGCATGCGGTGTGCATAAAGTTTAGTGTGCACACGTGCATTAGACCAGAAATTGACTTTGGGTGTCTTCCTCCATTACTTATTAAGGCAGGATCTTGAAAAAACAAAAAAAGCTGGAGCTCATCAATTTGCCTACTGTAGCCAGCCAGCTTGTCCAGGACATCCTGTCTCTTCCTCCTGAGGCTGGAACTACAGGCAGAGCATCACGCCCACCAGATTGTGGCCAAGGTGCTGGAATCTCATCTCCAGTCCTCACGCCTCACAAGAACTGCCTCTCAATTTTAAGATCGTTAAAACGTAATTATGGTATCAAAACACATTATTTTAATGCAAAAATACTTATCTGTACACATAGGAAATATCTATTCACTTAAAATATTTTAATATGCCAAAAGCAATGAAATCTGTTTCGCTGCCATACTGCAGACTTCATCTAAAAATATAAGATACAAGTGTCTAGATTGTTATCTTAAAAAAAAAAAATCTTACTTCTTACTAAATTTCAGGTTATGTTTCAATTGTTTCAAAAAGTTAACTTGGTTGGGTTTTGTTGTGGTGGTTTTGTGTGTGTGTGTGTGTGTGTGTGTGTGTGTGTGTGTGTGTGTGTGTATTTTACCAAAAAAATACTGGTTATAAAATGCTACCAATATTATCAAAAGCCCGATTTAATTAAAAACAAAACAAATAAAACAGTCCCTTCTGATATAAAAGGCTGGAGATTTAAATAATAAGAATTTCATTTAATTCAGAATAATGTCAATCTAAGCAGCAGCAGCCATTGGATTGCTGGACTAGGATTCCTGATCAGGAAATTAACTTAGGTGCCTCCTGCAGCACATGTCAAACCGTTGCTAGGTTTACTGTGTAACCCTGCCTCAGCCATCAGAGCTGGGATTACAGGCACACACCAGCGCCAAGAGAACACTGCTTTGTGACAGACACAGTAACTAGTGTTTAAGAGCATTGGAGTTGCTATTAGCAGAAAATCTCCATAGTTAATACCTAGTCAAAAATACAGCGACTATAGTTACAGTTCTGATAGTGTTGTCGGACTTTTACGTCTCCCTCACGCAGTACACATCATCATTCATGCATTTGTCTATTAATATAAAAAAAGCACGTGAGTCCTCTCCTCACCCCAGCCTTGTTCCCTGCCTCCCTCTCCCATCTTGACCTCTTTTCTCCAGCCCTCTGCACAAATCGGAAGGTCTTTTGTGATCACTGGGGATCACCATTGACTGATTACCATTCCGCTTGGTCACCCTGATTTGTTAAAAACAATACAAATGTACTTATTTTCTAAGCTTCTTACTTCCAGTCATAACAAAATAATGGTCATCATCTTCCTTTTTCTTGGCAGTAGACTTTTTCTCTCCACTGTCTGTTCCCTTACCAGATGAGGGTGGTGTCCTGGCAGACGCTGGTGACTTGCCACTTTTGGGGGGCCCTTTAGCTGAGTACTGGCCCTTCATGGCAGTCTGTGCTGACTTTGAGACAGTTTCTGTCTTGGCAGCAGATTGAGGAACAGTCACAATGGACAGCGGGGTACGGCCAGGAGACTTCGAGGAGCCGGGTCTCGTATTCTGGCAGGTACCCTTACTCTGAGGTTGCTTTTTGGCAACTGCAACTATATTCTTACGTTTTGATTCCTGAGTAGCTTTTGCAGAGGACACAGCACAGCCAGGAGCGGCATGATTTGAACTCAAGGTAGACTGAAGTCCTTGTGCTGAGTCTGTCCTTGATTCCAGAGTGCTCTCAGGTGGCTGAGGCTGTCTCCCCGGACCTAGGGCTCTGGTTTTAGCACTGGGTTTTGTCACTTTTGCAGGCGACTGGAAAGGAGAAGGGTTAGGCCTTTGGTGCAGGGTTCCTTTAGGTAGCTTTGGGCACTTTGATGATAAATTTACAGGTGACCCATCCCTGGAAGAAAGATGATTGTGTTTCAAATGCTTTGGTTCCACTTTTCCAGAATGCTTACTTGGCAAAAGTCTGGGCTTGGCCAGCTCTCTTGACTTCTGGGCTGGACTAGCCTTGGTCTTGGTAGTCTTGGGGGCTGTGACGCAGTTTCTCAGTGACCCCGAGGCACACTGTGTAGCGCTAGTTTGGCCGGCTGGATTTAGAGCTGCCGGGGAAGAGGATGCACTGTTGGAAGGAGCATGTGTCCTTTTTGCTGTGTCCTTCAAAGACGCGACCCTGGGATGGGAAAGGGATGCTGGAGGATCTGGAGGTTTACGAGTAGACGACGGGGGAGCTCTCACTGTCGGTGCAGGGGGCGGCACACCTGGTGGGCGGACCTGCTTTTCCTTGCTTTTCGCAACACTCACTGGCGTGCCGGGTTTTAAATTCTGTTTCTGAAACATGCTAACCGCAGACAAAGGGTTCATTTCTGGAGGCTGAGGCGTTCTGGCAGGCGAATCTGGCACACTTTCATTAGAAACTCCTTTTTGAAAGGCTAAAATTTTTTGTTCTAGTGTAGCAAACTGCAGTATTCGACAGGGGTCATATTTCAGCAAAAATCCTTGCAGCGTATCCCAGCCTCCACCAACACGGACCATAACGTGTTTTCCATGAAGCATCTGTCACAAAAACAAAAATAAAAAATAAAACAGTGAAGCTGCAGGGTTTATAGTTTCAATTTGTTCACAATTATGATTTGCATTTTCTATGACCTGTGAAACCTGTATTCGCCAACAGCTTTATTTCAAATTGACAGTCTTGTATTAAAATAATAAATTTAGTATTAGATTAAACAACTAATAATAAAAGCCCTCCACTTTGTAATTAAAATATGTACAAATAATTTGTATCCTAAATCCACATAAGTAATATAGAAAACTGAAATAAAAAATATCGTTCAATGGACTGAGTACTGAAGGAAGAAAAGGAGATAGGAGAGGAGAAAGACAGGAAAAAACCTCATGACAGACAAAAAAGTAATTAGAAAAATAATGACAACTTGTACTTTAAATTTAAAAGTTATATTCGATCAATTTCATCTTTCAAACACATGTAAATTATTAGTATGTCCTGGCAGATAAGAATGTCTGAGAGATAAGAAAGTTAGGGCTAGCCTCAAATACACAGGCTTCCCCTGGCTCTGTGAAGGCAGCCCACACTGGATTCCAGGGCCCCGTCCACACAGCTGGGGGTCCTCCCATCTTGGAGCTCAGCTTTACAGTTTAGCTCGAAGTCCCATTCTGTGCATATCACCTTTACGCCACAGCTTAGGCAGGACTTAACTCCTGGCCCACATCAAAGATCCTGTCTTTCCAGTGAACAGCGGTGGATGCAGACTGGGGGCTGCACAAAGCGCTGAGTGAACGGGATGAATGAGAGCGCAGCACTGAGTCATTTCCACAGCATTCCCTCTAAGGTGCAGGAAACATTCTGGGGGAAGGGCGGAGTGATTTCATCTGCTGGGCAGGGCGCAGCCATTGCAGTGACGAACTACCAGCTGCAGGAGATGGCTGTGCTGAGCCTGCGCAAGGCTGGGCCCATCAGTCAGCCATGGATGGGGAGGGCTTTGGGAAGCCTACCTCTCCCTGCTGACTCCCTGCTAAGAACGGAAGACCCTACAGTCACTTGTTCTCAAATCTCTCTTCCAGTTAGTTTGGGCTAATTAATGTTAAGGAGTCAACTCAACCTGATTTCTGCTTCTATTTGCTATTGTTCAGATTCAGGAAGAGGGGAAATTGCCTTAAATTGTATATCCATTGATGATCCTACCAGACGCCACTGAATAGTTTCGATCCAACAGTTACTCAGATGGTCCTAATTAAACTCAGTCACAAACAAAGCCAAAAGTCATAAATCGGGATGATGAAATTGAGTTGATAGGGATCAGAAGAAGGTAAAAGAGAATGAAGGAGAATAATTAAAATACAATCTATACACGTACGAAATTGCTCAACAACAAAATTGGCAAATAAAAAATTTTGAAGAAAGCTACTTAAAAACAAATGAATTTGGGTGTTTCTCTATGAGCTGGGTACAGGGTGGGAATACTATGATTCTTTGTGAAGTAGAGAAAAATGCAGATGGCTTAATTGTATGTTTAAGTACTTTTATGTTATGTTCCTAAATAAAGAGAAAACAGTTCCTACATTATAACAAAAGTAGAAAGATGTTAAACAGGTGAACATTCCATTTTCTGATCAACAAAAGGGCTAAGTAATCAACTACAGCCAGGACAAAGAAAGGCCATGAACATGGGCATCATGGGCATACTGGCGCATGATCTAAAAGAGATCTGCTTACTCCTCAGAGTACCCATCATTGTGAATGGCAGTATGTTTATGTTTATTTTCTTACTACTAACATTAAACTTAGTGGACATTCTATTTTGTTCATTTCTTCTTAGGGAGTTGATGGATAATTATTCCATTTAAAAAAATCTGAAAAAAAAAAATGCAGTAACTCCCTAAAGTACATGACATTTTTTTCTTTGTATGTTTGTTTGGCTGGTTGGTTTTTGTTTTTGTTTTTGCAGACAGGGTTTCTTTGTGTAGCCCTGGCTGTCCTGGAACTCACTCTGTAGACCAGGCTGGCCTTGAACTCAGAGATCTGCCTGCCTCTGCCTCCCCAGTGCTGGGAATAAAGACGTATGCCACCACCACGCAGCTATATGAAGAGATTTCTCTTTATTTGGATAGTCTCAGCTGTCTTCTGGTTAGTCCCTTGAGTGTGAAAAGCATCTATTCAAACTCATTTGAAATCCATGAAATCAAGCATACCATATTTTCTCTTGTACAGTAAAATTCTTCCATCACTAGCACCCTCTATTCTAATTCTTTTACAAGTAAAGGGGATCAAAAGAAAGTTGGTAAAAAAAAAAAAATCAATTCCAAGACACATGTGTATGAATATAGGCTGTAAACAGCAGACCTACCCTTATAAAGAGTATTTTCTCTCCGAGCCGGTACCTTCCTTCTGATAAATATTCAATAGAAAATCGATGAGAACAACTACAAGGAGGATCCTCAGCAATGTGTTTAACCTGAGATTAAAAACAAGTATCAATATTCAGTGCCTAGTTAAAAACAACAACAACAACAGTCTATTAAAAGTTAAAATGCAAATCTCAAAGATAAAAATTCAAATTCAAAGCCTGTTCAACTATTGAATATCTCTTCTCCATTCCTTGCTGATAAATTTTGGAATCAGACACAGCTAATCTGGCAACATTCATCCTCGAGGATGTCCCCCTCCCTCTATCAGACCAAGGGAAACCAGGCAAGAAGCCACAATCACTGAAGGAGGGCTGACAATGGAGAAGGCAATAAAGTCAATTCAAAACACACGAGCTCATCATTAAGTCTGAACTGTTTTAAGCCTGAATAATTACATTTGTGTCAAAGGCCATCCCAGTCACAAACAGGCTAAGTAAGAATTCTCACTTTTCCCTTAAGACAATGCTAAACTAATATTGTGGGAACACAGATTTGTTGCAAGTTACTGCTAAAATAAGCAAAGCCATATGTCTATATGTTCATGAGTGGGTAAAATTCTTAATATTTCAATTTGGGAAGCATTTTTTCTAGAAGTATTTGCTCTAGTTCAAACACCTCATGAGGAAATGGAAGGAAGGCAAAACATAACTTACTTCTCGCTCTCAAAATCTTGTTTTTTCTTAACAGTTTCAAACATGCACACAATGTATTTTGACCATATCTACCTCCGAGTCCCCCACTTCAACCCCTGTCTCGCACGTGTTTATGTCCCCCTGCCAACATCATCCCTTCTCTTTGACAGTCCACTGAGTACAGGAAGTGCTGCCATATACAAGTGGGTGCTGGGTTAGCCACTGGATCGTGGACAAGGGGCCTCACCTGAAAGTTCTGACTCTCCCTCCCTAATATCTATAGATGCCAACCTGCATCTCAGTTAGGGGTGAGACCTGGCAATCCTGGCTGGCCCCGCCCATGCTGGAATGCTGCCTGCTTGACCTCGCTGTGCAGGCTTATGCAGGCAAGCACAAACACTGAGTTCATGAGTACATCAGTACTATTTCACAATGCGCCTCCATGGCCTCTGGCTCTCAGTCTTTGGACCTTCCTTTCCTTGAGAGAGGCCTCAAGGAAATGGTAAAATTAAAGTAGCTAGGAAAAGACATTCTATATTGTAAACAAAGAAAATAAAGTAAATTGATTAAATGAAGATGTATTTTGAAATATGTTTAAATGAAAAACATTACATATTAGCAACTAAGACAAATATTGGGTTTCTCCTCAAATTACATTAAAAAAAAAAAAAAAAAGGTCTGTTTGAGGCCAGCCTTGTCTACATAGTGAGCTCCAGGCCAGCCAGGGTGGCATGGTGAGACCCTGTCTTAAAACAACAACAAAGTCATAATTATTTTTCAAACGTACTTATCACACCAAGTATATCAGAATATATTCATTTAATTGAACTTAATCCTAATGTTTTAAACACCCTCTACAGATATGCCCAATTTAGCTGTGCACTAAGAGAAATTTATGCTTGCCTTAATTATCTACCAAAAATAAGTTAACAATCACGGAGTCACAGGGTCTGATGAGAATATTATACTAACACAATCTATTTCCCTATGCTGTTCATTTAACAAGAAAATTTCCTTGTAAACAAAGGGGGTTGATCCCTACAAGTCCTCAATAAAGTTCTCTTGTTCACAGACTGAGCACATAGGCACAGAGTGAACATACACACATATTCATTCACCGTCACATTCGACACACACATGAAACAAGACACTGAAATCAGGCGAAGCTGGGAACTACTACATGTTTCTACGCTAGTTAACTACAGTAACTTCACAGGAGGTGTTTCTTTTAGCCATTATGTGATGCAAAATTTCATCTGCATATTTAAAGGCTCCAACATGATGAATCAAATAGTAATTGTCCTATATGCTAAATAACAACCCAGGACATCTGTATACCATATCCATGTATAGGAGGCCATAGAATGTACATATGTAAAGAAATATGCCTGCTTTTATTTTTCACAATAAAAATTCAGATCAGAGCCACTTATTTTCCCGATTAGACTGTCCAAATCCGTGCTAACATTCGGCAATATGAAGTTGTTTGTGCTAGCAGTCATCAGTGGCAGAGTCTACACAAGGTAGTGAGCTGTGGTTAGGAGCTTTTTCTAGATCTACTGACTACATAATTAACAACACTAAAGGAAATAGCTAAAGAAAACAATCTACAATAAAATTGCCTTATTTTCATTCTCACCCCAATATTTTTGTCCATATAGACATAGTTTTTATTATATCAGCATTTTCTCCCTGCTACATTCTATGACATGACTGTCATAGCAATCACATACAATTATTATTCTATGATGATACTGATTCCTAGTTTATGAAGCCTTTGCTCTACTGGAGGATTTTTACATTACTTAATTTTTCTACCATTAGAAATAATAGTACAATAAACATTTTTATTTTATAAACTTAATTATAGTAACATTTTAAAAAGAGTATTTTTGCAGCTCTTAATATTTATTTTTCAAAACTACATATCAGCTTTCATTAACCATAGTAATTCCTAAGTATAGTTTCACCACGATTTATACAGCTTTTAGTTTTCCAGCTTTTAAAACTTTTGCTACTGGAACAAAATGGTATTGTGGAAATTTTAACTTTCTTTAATTATCAAATTTCAACATTATATTTTCTTTTTGTCTGAACACAGTCCCTGCACATGTGCCCATTTCTATCAAATGTACTGCATTCACATACCAAATTATATACTAAATTTTTCATTTAATAAAATGTTTCTTTTTGTTTCCTTTGTTAATTATCATTCTTTAAGGTGTCTAAAACTTAAAGGTTTAGAAATATTGTTTAAGATCTGCAAACAAGTACTTGTGGTGTGGCTCAGCCCTAGCACACACCTTTACTCCGTGACCTCTGAGGATTAAATAACGTCAACCCTTGGTCGAGAGGTGGAGCAAGAAACCAGCTGACAGGAAGTAAACAAAAGGAGGGCATTGAGAGAAGGGTATTTAAGACAGCTTGAAGAAGAGAGGGCTTTTGGCTTTTTCCTCCTAGATCATGGGTGGAGTAGGAAGATCTTTTTCCTTCTAGGACATGGGCACTTTCTCTGTGTCTAGTAGGCTTTCACCCCAGTACCTGGCTCCTGAGTCTTGACTGGTAAAATCAAACGACTGGGAGTTTCTTTCATTATAACAACAGTTTTTATCTACTATATTATTTCTGCTTCCCATTCTGATACTTATAATCATCAAATATACCAATGAGATAATAAAGGTAAATAATTTTGATCTAATAATTTTTTTCAGACTGACATTCTTAATCTGTCTTACAAAGTAATCTGAATATTTATTCTATTTTATTTTATGTATATGTCTGTATGTGTCTGCCAGTGTATAAGTGCATATTTTATATGTATGTCTGTATAGATGTGAGTGTGCACGCATGTGTGAACTCATGTACATGGAGGTAAGAAGTCTATATCAAGTAGGTCTTTTTGTCCTCCTCCTTCTTCTGAGCTCATCAACTGGCTAGATGGTAGGCCTGCGAGTGCCAACAAACTGAGTGTCTCTGCCTCTCCCAACTCCTCCTCCACCCCACAGGACAAGGATTACACAATCCTCAGGATGAAGATTGACCCCCCCCGCCACCCCACCCAGTCCCAGCTAGTTTCTGCATTGGCGCAGTAGATCCGAGTTCAGTCTCTCATGCTTGTACAATGGGCCCACTACCAATTGCTTCCCAGGCCCCGGGCTGAATGACTTATCAAACAAATTATATTTAAAAAGAAAAGAAGCAATTAAAAATATTTACTACTGATGATCTGTTCTTATTATCAAATAACTTTATGCATTAAACTTTTCTTTAAAACACTGCAAATGTAAATGACAGCAAGCAGAAAATGCCTGACATTCCGACTACCTCCACCACTTACACTGTAGAATCTACAGAAGATCTGGAGCCTGAAAGGGCTTGACTCTACCAGTGTCTACAGCACAAACAGGCACTGTTGAGAAGACCACCATGACATGGCCCGCCATATAAAAACTGCATATTGTCTAGGAGGGACAATGTTCAGGGAAACTCCATCAGTTTCTTCTTGCAACTTCTCTTCCTCTCTTATCCTTCTGGTATCTGTGCATCATCTGCTTCAACCACCTTGGATCTCTCTCTCCTCAAAATCACTCAAGAATTCTACTCCGAGACACGGCTTATAATTGTTCCTTTTGTTTCATTTCTCACTACTCCGTTCAAATGTAAACTCTCATCATCTTATGCTTGGGGTAGTACCATAAAACAAACACAATATAACCAAAAAAGCAATCCTTTATTATTTACAAATCAGATTATAATGCTATCATATTTAAAAAAAAAAAAAAACCTCATTGACTTCTTGTGACCTTTAACCCATCACTCTCCGAGTACACATCCATTCTTCACATACTCCCCAAATTCCTCAGGCAGTGGAGATTAGTAAATATATTCTGAATAAAAACCATTTCTCGTTTGGTTGGTCGGTTGGTTTTGGTTTTAGACAGGGTTTCTCTGTCCTGTGTACCCTTGACTGTCCTGGACTTGCTTTGTAGACCAGGCTGGCCTGGAACTCACAGAGATCCACCTGCCTCTGCTTCCCTGAGTACTAGGATTAAAGGCGTGCTTCACCACGCCTGGCTCCATTTTCTTTTATAGTAAGTATTTCTGGTAGCAATTTAGAAATAAATAAAACATGTGACTTCAGCTGGCACAATTTTAAAAAGCACAGCAAATACTTACTGCCTCATGTAGTTCTTCATGCTGACAGCACGTTTTGGGTATGCTGAAGGAGTCTTCAGGCCCAGAGGCATTAAGCAAGGTCTCCTCCAACTCAATCTCTTTCTCAAGTTTCACTAAGACTGGTGGCTCAACTCCATATCTGCAAACAAAGTCAGGGAAGCGGATCACCCCGTGTGTACCCAGCGGATCATCCGTGTGTACCTGACTACACCTCTGCAGAGCAAGTTGGGGACGGGTTACTTCTGGAGTGAAGTCTGTCTGTATGACTTTCCTACAAACTGTCTCACTGAGACAGCTACGGGTCCTTTTCAAATGCTTTGGATTGCCCAAAATCCAAACTACAATCTCTGTATCATAGCATATATGTGTCCTAGAGTCCTGAAAAGCGGCTTTAAAACCAAACTGGTGGTGGACAGGGCTGCTGCAGGCATGAGGGATTCTTACCAAATTCTCCTGATCTGTTTTGAACTGCTTCAAGTTACACATTTCTACCCTGCTCTTAACCTCAAAGTTTTAGGTAGCATTTTCACAATTTCATATGAAATGAAGGTAAATGAAGAAAACAAATGTTGACACATGCTCATGTAGATAAAATAAAGACACAGAACGATAAAACAGAAAATTGCTTACTTCATTTACTCAAGAATCATATTCTTTGGGTATAGAAACTATGATAAAATTAAGTGGCTTAAAGCTATTTATGATGTTGAAATTCTGAAATATTGAGACATACGTACCTTGAAACAATTCGACCAATCTCGAGAAGGCAAAGGTACACCTGTCTGGGGTCTTTATGTAAAACTGTGGAAAAAAATAAGACCATACGTTTCAAGACTCAGATGATAGTTGGAAAATACATTCTGGCAGAGCAGAGAGTGTAGGGAAAGAATAATGAAGACAACAGGCTTATTTGTTTAAAGGGACACTTTTATTGTCTCTACATAGTAATTTCTTCTATACTAAAATAAACAAACAAATAAATAAACTAGCAAGCACAAAGAGAATGGAGAGTGGCCTAGGGTATTTACTTATATAGTATTTCAGGCTATAAAACTATGGATTTAATATCACTAAATTACATTGAAGCCTAGGGCGTCATAAAGGTTCTCGCTGTATAAATATCAGGACTGGAATTCGGACATCCAGCACCATGCAAAGCCAGGAATGGGGGCATACATCTGAAACCACAGTGCTGGGGTAGATAAGGGCAAGATCCGCAGGATCAAAGGCCACCCCACCCACGGGAATTGATGAGTTCCAAGTTTAGCCAAGAAGCCCTGCCTCAAAAATAATGTGGAGAACCCCAACACCAAAGACACCTGACCTTGACCCCTGCCCTCCCCAGAACACACATTACAGACGTCTCAGCAGGAGATAGTGTTAGGAGACAGGCACTTCAAGTTTACTCTATGTAGTTCTCAAACGTAACAAAAACAGGAAGTAGCAATTTGTAACTTACTCTGTGAAGCACTATTATCTTCAAAACAAACACAGAAGCCAGAGAACTATATCATAAGTTTTCATAAGAAAACTAAAAACCAGTTTCTAAGCCTCACAGAAATGAATGTAGCAATCTTCAACACACTAGCAATAAAATCCAGCAGCATACAGAAATTACATGCAATGAACAAGTAGGATTTATGCCAGGAATGCAAATGGCTGAATATATGAAAATAAACCAATGTAATTAATGGAAAACAGGGGTCCTACACCACAAAATAGAGGATGACACAAAAACAAAAGAATATGAAGGAATCTTCTCAAACTCATAAAGGGCATCCATGAAAACCGTACAGCTAATAGCATTCTGAAAGCATTTACATGTAAGTAAACCGCAGAAAATCTGTCTCCTAAGCCAGGGTAAAGATAATGGCATCACTCTCATCAGTCCTATTCAACACTGCACTGTCCCAGGCCTCAACACAATAAAAGGTGAACAGGTAAAAACCTGTGTTGTCTTTGTTAAGCAGTAATACTTAGATATGCAAAGTTCAAAAAATAAGGAAACGAGACAGACTTAAAAAAATTTCAGTTTGAAGCTAGAGATGGCTCAGCAGTGATGAGCACTGATGCTCTTTCAGAGGACCCAGGTTCACTTCCCAGAACCCACGTGACAGCTGCAAACTGTCTGAACTCCAGACTAAAAGAATGTGACACCAGCTTCTGGCCTCCCCAGGCACCAGGCACGTATGTGATACACAGGCAACATGCAGACAAAACATTCATGTGTATGTGTGTGCATATATATGTGTATATGTACATAATATGTATGTATGTAAAACAAAATTTCTAAAAATTTAAAAACTTTAGACAACAAAGGATACTATTAAAAAGTGAAGAATGGAAGAAAATATTTGCAAGTTATATTTGATGGGGTGAAACATCTAAAATACATGCAAAACCTTTGCTAGTCCATAAAAAAGATAAATAGAAATTTTTAAAATGAACAATGGATAGTAGCCCTTTGTGAGATGTAGGATTGGTAAAGATCTTTTCCTAATCTGTACAGACTACCATTTTGTTTTATTGAAGTGCCCTTGGCCTTTCATGTGCATTTTAGTTTCAAGAGGTCCCATTTATTAATTATAGATTTTAGAGTTTGAGCTGCTGGTGCTAACCAGGGCCCAGAGGAACTTGAAGAAGCTGAAGCACCAACCAAGGACTGCATGGACTGGACCCTACACAGATGTAGCTGATGGTTAGCTTGGCCTTCATGTGGGCCACCTAGAAAGAGGGCCAGGAACTGTCCCTGACATGGACTCTGTTGCCTGCTTTCTGATCACTCCCCCCTTGCCAGGCCACAGGGGAGGACAAGCTAAGTCCTACCTAATGAGATGGGGTAGATGGGGAGGGGGAGAAGGGGCTCCCCTTATCTGAGGAATAGCGGAGGTGGAGGGGGGAAAGGAAGAGAGAGTGGGACTGGGAGGAGAGAACAGAGGGGGCTAAAATCAGAGGGGATGTAAAGTGAATTAATTAATTAATTTTAACAAAATGAGCAAAGGAGGAGAAGGAACAATAGAAGGAGGAGGAACAGAAGAGAGGTTCTATCATGGCCTGGTTCTATCATGGCCCTCAGCGCTTATGACTCTTCAACTTTCCTTTCCTGGTCCTCAGAGTCAGAAACTGTAAGGAACTTTGGAACCCTAACCTAACGTGCAAGGTGTTCTGAGCACAAACACTGACTGCACTGATCGGTAGGGCAGCTGCTCTTTGACGTATGAACAGCGTCTTTTACATACACAAAACCAAACAGTCTGTTTCCTCTGAAACAGGTCTTGCCTGATCTATGGCTCGGGCTCAGATTACGGGTGTGTGTGTACCAACACTAGCTATAAAATATTACCATTTAAGGCAGCAAAAAGACCTCCATTTGAACTTAAAATCTACAGAAATAAAGGAATTTATCATGAAATATTTCTAACCGTTCTTATAAATAACCTAAAAATAGTATGTTTATTTTTTATAACTACTTTGAGTTCCAAGCAAATGTAAAAAAGAAATGATCACTTCAATGCCTACAAATGAGTTACTTGTATTGACAGTATTTTTCTTAGTCCTACACTGCCCTTCAGCACTGCTGGAAGATGTCTTTCACATTTAAAAATAAATGGCAATCTTAGGCCTTTTCACAAAGAGTAAGCTCCAAAGGAGAGAATTCAAAGCATCCTCTCCTGCCTCTGATCTCTAAGCTGGATGGCCCTTTAATAAACATCACTGTCAGTAACAATCAGCACACCTGGGTTACAGCACACACAGCCTGCAGGGTCCACGGCATCCTTCTGCACTCTGGGGTAGCCAGAAGCGCACTGAACAGGCTACTGATTACGGGAGCCGGCCACACTGTACAGTGTCCGTGAAGGACTAAACACTAACAAATTCAACTAAAAGTCTGCTTGCTTTTAATCACCAACATGAATCAGGAGCTGTGAACGGAGCCAGTGATGAAACCTCTGTCTGGGAATACAGTGTCCGCTTTGGGGTGTGGCTTTCTTATCACAGCAGTGTACATTCCATGCGTATGCATTTTTATACACGCATATGTTCACGTCTACATACCTATCAATGCTTTGGATTCTGTGTTGTGTGTGTGTGTGTGTGTGTGTGTGTGTGTGTGTGTGTGTGTGTGCACAAAACAGCCAGGCAGTTGCTTCATTAGTACCATATAGACGCTTTTGCTGACTTAAGTAAATGAGAAAAACACATCGACAATTTTTCAGTGGAGCATGTTTTGTTTGTTGGTTTGTTTTTGAGACAGGGTTTCTCTGGGTAGCCCTAGCTGTCCTGGACTCACTCTGTAGACCAAGCTGGCCTCAAACCTCTGCCTCCCAAGTGCTGAGATGAAAGACGTGTGCCACCACTGCCCAATTCTGAGCATGATTTCTTTAATGAAATGTCAAAAGCATTATTCCTTTTAGATAATAAAGGTGGCAGCTACTATTTATAATTAAATCTAAATACTGTAAGCACATTTCACCTGTTATTTCTATAATGATATGGTTAAAGAGGAATTGCTAGTAATTTAGACCTGGTAGGGTCCATCTTCAGCAGCCAACTCAGAGAATTCTACATATATAAGCCTGTATTAATATGAGGGGAAGCTGTGGCACCCCGAGTCACTGTCTAGAAATAAATGTAGAAATGAGGGAGAGACGCAGCCCTCCCAGTTAACACTCCAGCAACAGTACCTACCTAGCCCTTCCGATTCAAAGAGGTACGTTTCATCAACCCCGATGTGCCGACACCAGTGAAGGAAGTTTGCAGTGTTGTCTCTGGCAAAGAACGAACCAGACGCAGCATCTTTCTTACATGGCACTTTTCTCATTGGAAAATTCTAGAAAAGACATGAGGACAAAAAAAAAAAAAAAAAAAAACAAAAAACCGATATTTTACTAGGTGTTTATTTTTAGCAACACAAAGTAAATGTTACATGCATTAAGTGTAACTAAAGACCACAGAAGTTGGAGGGAAAACAATTATCTTCAAGAACGATTTTCTTCTTTTATTTTGTTTTCCAGAAACAAATGCTTAGGAAAACTGAACAACTCAAAACAACACAAGAGCTTCAAAACTGAAAATGACAGCCTGGTAACTACAAAGCATCTCCACGGTGTCTCTCCACAGGGTTCATCCTGAACAGGAGCCTACCCTATGCTACAGATTAACAAATCCTCTGTGTTGCCTCTTCTTCACAGAGTCACAAAGGTCGCCCTGGGCTTCTTTGAGAGACTATAAAATATGGGAGTATTTGTTCACTTTTAAATCAGGTTCCTTGGTGACCTAAGTCTCATAAATCCTGAAGTTTTTATTTTTGTTTTTTAAATATTCTAGCCCAAGAGTACTCTGATATTCCTGCTGCGGCTGAGGCAGAAGAGGGGAGTCCTTTTGCTTTTACTTTTCATTTGGCAATTCTTATGTTTTTAATACAATAGGTACAGTTGGTCTTTCTCCACCACTGCCAGTTTCTTTCTCCCTAGCAACAACTGTGATTACCAAATCTACGCTTCTCTTTTTGGGTGCTATTATTTTCTAGAACGGAAATAGCCTGCATGCATGATTAAATACAGAATATATTATCATTACCAAAAATATACAAATAAATATAGCAAAATACAAAGATGATTAGTATTAACTGAAATCCTCTCACTGACATTTCAATAAAATCTCAATGCAAAGCAATGCATATGTACTTGGAAAACACCGTGCAGACAAAAGTCTACAACCCGATTTGTGTATGTGCATGCGTGTGCATGTACTTTGAAAAGAATGTGCACTAGATAAGCTGTGGACATATTTAAGACTTTAAGAGGACACACTTAAATAATCAATTCTAAAAAAATATAATATTCCAAAGTGTTTAGGTACCATAATTAATTTTTATGAGTTCTCTATTGATTAGCAGGTTATTCTTAACTTTTACATTATTTCTATCTGTGATTTTCTTAGATTGAATTCCTAGAAGTAGAGAATTTTATATACCAAAGGATGTACTTTATTTTCAGTATTACATATATGATACATCTGTGTGCATGTATGTGTCTACAGACACGGAGCTGTCTCACTCATTTCCCTCCCAGAACAAGGATACTACTTTATGTTTCACTATTAGTGTGTCCAAGCTCCAAACTCTCAAAAGCACTTAATAAAAACACTTTCTCTGATAATAAAAAAGAAACCTAATCTGCTTTAGAGCATCACTTTAAAATTATCTTTTAAAAATGTTATGTATTCCACGAATCTTTTTAAATTTGCCACTAAGGCAGCAGATGAAAACTATACAGATGATGATAATACCAACAAGAGAGGTAACCTGTGTGCCAGTGTCTTAGTCATGGCTACTGTTGCTGTGATCAAACCCCACGACCAAGAGCAAGTTCAGGAGGAAAGGGTTTACTTGGATTATATTTCCGAATCACTTCATCATCAAAGGAAGTCAGGTTAGGAGGGCAGGAAACTGGAGGCAGGAGCTGAAGCAGAGGCCATGGAGGAGTGCTGCTTACTGGCTTGCTCCCCATGGCTTGCTCAGCCTGCTTTCTTATGGTACTACCCACAATGGACTAAGCCCTCCCCTGCTGATCACTAACTGAGCAAATGCCCACACCTGCACCCCATATAGACATTTTAAGCTGGAGTTCCCTCCTTCCAGACAGTAGGAATTTTTAAACTGGAGTTCCCTCCTTCTAGCTTGTGTCAACTGGACATAAAACTAGCCTGCATAGTGAAGAACTACCACAAACTCTCTTCTCGAATATAGTAACTGTAGAAGGTTCTACCAATGTTTTTAGGATCTAGCTGCTGGAGATCACCTATCCTAGATACTATTTATAGACTCAATATCAGTGAGCGTTCACAAATACTCCCACAAGTACATCCTTCAGTTGTTGTTTCTGGTGTGTATATACACTTGTGTATGCACTTGTGTGCATGCTCATGGAGATTTGGCTTTTAGGACAGGGACTCTCAGTGACCCTGAAACTCACTGATGAGGTGGACTAGTGGGCCAGTGAGCCTTTGGGATCTGCCTGCCTCTGTCTCCTAGCGCTGGAACTGCAGCCACGAGCTGCCACGTCCATCCTTTCTTTACACGAGTGCTGGGGATCTGAACTCAGGCCCTCGTGTGACATGACAGGCACTTTGCCAACCCAGCCGTCTCACAAGCCGCAAGGTTAATGTTACTACCTCTATTTCAGAAATATTACTTTTCAAATGCCCAAAAAGTTAAATCAACTTTTTGAAGTCTCACAGCTGGTTACAGGATGGAAATACAGCCACAGAGAGATAGTGAGATGCGGACAAGAACAACTGACGTCACTGCTGTCAAATATCTACTTACCCCTGGTTCTTCAGAGTGGCAGGCTTTGACCATGTTTTGAAGAACATTGATTAGCTGGCACAACAGCACTCCATTATCAAGTTCTTCCAATAATCTTTCTGCCTTTATGTCAACACCTAAAAGCACATTGTAAAGCTAAGACCCATCTAGAAGCAGCAAATTCAAAACCAATGGCTGAAACTTAAATATAATCAGATAACAGCAGGAAAACTAAACAAATAAGAGATATATTAAAACAAATAATGTCTAGTGAAATCAAAGACAAGAGCAAAACCTGTGATGCTTAAAGTTCAGAAAAAATACATGTATGTTAGATGAACTCACTGCATGTTGGCACCACCTGTACAGGAAAAAATGTCCTTCTAAGTGAGAAGGATTTTGTTACAAATTATACATTAAATACGGTGCCAGATAACTAACCTGGGGACATCAACTTTTGCCTCTAACATAACTTCTTTAAAAGCATTACAAACTTTAAAAACGTTCCCACCACCGAGCTGATACCAGACAAAACTAGAGTGACTGTTCATGTGTGTTCATCTTCGAAGGGCCTCAGTCCTCTTCAGGCTTGTCCTTCTCATGAAAATCTCAGAACGCTGCAGGAGAGTCTAGAGGTAAGTAACTTGAGGAGCTCCAAAGAAAGCTTCTCAGCAAAGTGGGAGGTCCTGAGTTTGGGTCCCCGAACCTAAAAGTGAGGTGTGTTGGTGTGCCTACGGCCAAGTCAGGCAGATCTTGGGAGCTTGCGGCATCTAAGCTAGCATGCACATGGTTGCACACACACACAAACACAAACATTTACACGAACATGTAAGTCCCCACGCACCCGCACAATGGACACATACACATATACACACGCACACATAAACATGTATACATACACACATGCATACACAGACATCTACACATGCATACTTATACAGGCATACATACACGAAACAAAAGTGGTATTTTCCTCCCCACTGGAAAGAAAGTTCAGAGACTCATCATAATCTTGAATAGAGTAAAACAACGTGATGCCAGGCATTCTCCAACTGGCATTTTCTTTTTGGTTTCCTTTGCTTCTACCTCTCCATGCTCAGAAATAGACTTTTACATAACTAAAGTAGATCTTCCATTTATAACTTTATAGCTCTTACAAGACTGGGATAAAACAGCAAAAAAGTAAAGCAAAGCTAGATGTAAATAAATTTTTAAAATATATTAATATTAATCATAAAATATTGATTATTCAAAATGACTGGCCACGTCAGTAAAACTTCAAGTTTCCTATAATGCAAGACGGAAGGTTGAGGGTGAGAGTATCTTTTTAACTGTATTATACTATATAACCTAAACTATACAGACTGTGAAAACAAGGACCCAATTCTGTTGCTCACTGCAGTGCCACCGGGATCTGGAGCAGTCAATCACTTCTTAAATGAAGATTGAAAAACCAAACAAAACAATTGGTGTCTCCGTAAAGCCTTAAGCCTTACCTAGTAAGCCAGACAACCAGATAGAGAGATCTTCTTGCATAGGCAGCAGCGTGGCTTCATGGCGCACAGCTATCCACTCGTCATACTGACAAACATCAGCCAGTCCCGGGCCGTGTCTGGGCGTCAGGGGACACCTGGGACTTAGAGGCAGATCTTCCCCAAACCACACCTTGACAAAATAAAAAGCAGCTGAGAGAAGGCAATCTGCTTAAAGTCACCGTACTCCACATGTTTGAATAAGTAGACATAAGCAATACAGAATAAGCCAAACTGCACATTAGAAAATATACACATTAGAAGCAAACTGGAATATCTGGAATGTTCTTCATAGTTAATGCAGTGGTTGATGCCAGAGAACACAAAATGAATGACTGGATTCTACTGCAGAGCTAAGAGGATAAAAATTCAACCAAAAAAAAAATTTTTTTTCTCCACTTGTCAGCTCAGGAGTGTACTAGTAACTAAACCAGAATCCCTCCCTATACCTTAGCTAGATAATGGGTTAATAACACCTGCCTTACAAGATTTGTTTGCAGCATCTAGCACTGTCCCTGACAGACAGCAGAAATCAAACAGATGTCTATTGAGCAGATAAGTAAGTGAATATATAGATGGCATCTGCAAACTTGAAATCATAATCGTGGTGTTTTAAAAATTGACTTTTTTTTTTTAATGAAATGTGTGTGGGAGGGTTGTGCATTATTAGTGCATGTGCCCGTGGAGGCCAGGAGAGGGTGTCAGATTCTTTGGAGCTGGAGTGACAGGTGGCCGTGAGCCACTTGATATGGGTTCTAGGACCAAACTCAAGTCCTCTGTAGGAGCAGCTGTGCTCTTGACCACTGAGCCATCATTCCAGCCCCTACAATGCTTTCTTTATTTTCTTTTCCGAATACTTTGATTAAACCAATGGAACAGCAAACCACGCCTGTAAGCAAACCTGGTTTATCATCTGTATTTTTACGACCTAAAACTAAAACATTTTAAAATGACTGTTATACAAGTACCCAAATACCCATCTAACAGTGTCTTTGTTTGTTTGGCCTACTGACCTGCAAAGGCCAAAACGGTTGCTGATATTTTAAAATAAAAAAAATAAAGAATAAAATTACATAAATATATTATCAAACAAACACGTGGAAATATTTGAAATATAAGCAGATTTGCTCTCAGATTGCTTATAGAAAAGACTCAATTGTGCAAATTATGAAAGAGAGAACCATAATGTCACTTTAAAAAAAAAAAGTACAAATGGCTTTTGTCCTCAAGATGAGTATTAGAGCCCACATGAGGTGAGCAGGAAGTTCTTCAAGGGAGGTGACCTGGATGTAAACAGGAGCCTGAGTGATGCCTACGGTGACCCTGTGCAAGGTGTCTGGCTCTGATCAGAAGGGCTCCATGGGGGCAGAGCCGCACAGCTCATTAGAGTGTCAGAGTACATGAGCTGTGTGTCCCCACACCAGGGAGAAGGCGGCAGTAACAAGAGTGTGGCCACATACCTAAAGAATTATTGATCAGGAGGCAGTTTTCTCACTGCTAGAGAAAGGAACAAATACACAGTGGGAGGGGAAAATGAACCTTATGATATTTTAACAGAAAACAAAGTAGCACTCAAAGGATAAAGGACATATCAAAAAGTCATAGGAGCTCTAGTTAAAACAAAAATAGAACAAACAAACAAAAACCAAGAACAAGACATCACGAAGTTCAGTTTCTGTTGACCAACGACTACTGAGCGTGGGGTCTGCTTGCAGTGCGGCTGATATGCCCGGCATCACGCCACTGACGAAAGGTGATTTTCCGTCTCCCAGCAGGTAACAACCACAAACAGCTTCTTGACTCTGGGTGGGACTTCATGAGTGCTTCCCTTCTCTTTGCTGGGATTTCTGTCCTGCTTGAACTTATGCAGACAAACTATAACATTTCCAATCTCCTCTGGCAAGTATAAACTTACATTAGAGAAAGAATTACCAAAGAAACAAACCCCTGAAACTCGTCCTGGGCAATCCCAGCCGGTTCTCCATGTGTGCTGTACCTCACTGCTTCACAACTAGCCTGCAAAACATGAATTACTGTCCTCACCCTGTAGGTGATGAACCAGGCAGAGCAGGCATGACAACTTGCCAGCCTCTCACGACGAGGCTGGCAAAAGTGGGATCGGAACTCAGCTGTGACTGGCTCTAAAGTTCTGACTTTCAAAAGATGGATTTATTAGCAACTGACTGTATCTTTCAAGGTAGAAAGATTCAGTTTCGCTCTTGCCTTTGATTTAATATTTAATTGTCCTATTACTGTCTATCCAAGGAAAGAAAACAAAAGGACAGAAAGACAATGAACACAGCAAACACCAACTTCATACTGCCATGACTTCTGTGATTCCCCATGGCGGGCTTTGCCCAATCACAAACAGCAACAACAACAAACAAACAAACAACAAAAACAAAAGAAAAAACCTACTCTTTAAAGATTCTGATTTTAACACAATCAGGTAAAGGCTCACTGATAAAGTGACGCGCAGTACCTCACCAAGACTTGTTGCTTGTATTTGTACTTTGCTAACTGCTCCTTCAGCTGCAGTTACGATCACGGGCCACACTGTAAAGAGGGGATGCTATAAAGCATGCTACTTATTTTCCACTGACCCACTAACCCCCAAATTCTTTGATTCTTTCAGCTATCTTGCACAAGTAAAACTCAGAATTAAAATGTTCTTGGAACTAGAAAGTTGAAATACAGTATTCCTATTGTTAAAATGTGGTGTTAAAAAAACGCCATAAAAGGAATTAAATCAATAATATCAATTCATAGTTTACATTTATCTTTCACAAAAAGAAAACTTACTTGGATTGCAGGCTGCATGGTCATCTACCCTGAGGTGGAGAGAGAAGGAATTAGGATGCAGATTACGGCACAGGTCCTGCTCCCTCAAACCCCAAATGATGAGAATGAGGTGTGTGCCTTATTGCCTCTTTGACCACACACCTGAGACATTCTCATCTAGTTAGGATAACGTGACAGCGAGGAACTCACATCACTTTTCACTTTTGCCTCCAAAAGGGCATCTGTTACTCGAATGAGAAAGACCTAAAACAGTTTGAAGCACTGGCCCCAGCGAGTGAGGAAGAATTCCTGGCAAAGCCTGCTTCACAGAGCAGTCGCCCACCCCCAAAACTGATACTGAGACTCAGGCATCTTCCCTTGTTGTGATCACATTTTGATGAGTCATTTGAACTTTATGAATCACATGCTTAGCCATAAGCTTTTTCTACTAGACAACAAGACAGTAAAAAAGTATCAATTTCAACTATGAATTAAAAATACTCAATACCTTCCTGTGAAAATTTGTCAGAAACAAAAGAAACAGCAGTGATGGCTCCAAAGCTCTGTCTGCTCTTGAAATCTGCAAAAGAAAGACAAACTTTAGTAAATTAAATCAGGTCAATACAATTCTTTAATATATTTTCAGGAAGAAAATAAATGAAAGACCTAAAGACAGAATAATAGAAATTGCATAAAAGCATGTGTTTGTTGCTTCTTTATGGCAGTTAACATACTGTATTTTTATTAAAAACTACCACTGAAAGATTTTGAGAGAAAATTTAAAAACTATTTATAAGGCAAAAATGTTACCTGTTTCCAAAGTTATGTCCTCCCCCTGAGCTCCCTCACAATATTGCATGCAAGCCAACTATACACCCTGCATTCTCGACAGACAAGCAGACCCTGAGCCAAAGCTAACTGAGGAGCTGAATGAACATCATATCACATTTTCGTTGCAGAAGGCAAAAGACCACAGCATGCCCTTTTTGCTCTCATTTTTCCTTCTCTCCGCCCCAGCAAAAGGCCAAAGCGCAATGAGCATTGCTAACAGCCTGTTATGCTGCGCACCAGCTAATCCAGTGGGGAATACATTTTCTTTTAGCATAAATAACCCTTTGTCCCCAACAAAGGTCCACAGTGTGAAGCTTCCAAGACCACCTCTTCAAAAACGCAGCAAAGAAGCCGTGCCCATTAAAATGAAGTTCCCCCTAAGCAGACAAGAGCTCTAACAGTTGGAGCTGCCGACCACCAACAAAAGAAAGCTGCAATTACAAGGCGTGTGCACACCCAGAACAGTGGCACATTCACAAAGGGGCCGTCACAAGAATGTTCAGCAGCTGCACATTTTATGGAAAATTCAACAAAATCAGTTTTATGAAGGAAACGAAGAATTTGTGTACAACGTTCAGTCCCTTGAACTTTAGCAAAAGTCACGTTTTCAAATTCTTCTGGAGCAGCAGATAACACTGCTGAAACGACAGAGCTATAACCACTTGCGTTACCCTTAGAAATATTTCTTTAGATGTAGGATGGCTCAGCTGCACAATGCTTGTCCAGCATGTGCAAGGATGTGGGCTCAGCCCATGGTACCACAGTAGGTAAATTAACTAATTTGTAATAAAATAGCTCTCGGGTATGTTGCAACAGACCCTCAGCTCTACAAAGCTACTATGTACACTATTCCTTTGGGGGAACACTTCCAGAACTGTCCAGCCTGACTCAGTTAACTGGTTATTAATGAGTACTCAACCATGGTCCAGACACAGAGAGCCAGTTTTTTATAAAATTTAGCTGTTCATATCCTCTTGTCAGCCAGTTCCATACCAAGAGCAGCTTAGTGGTCAGCCCAGGCCCTGGTGAGCACCACATCCTCAGTTTTTCCTTTTGCTCCTTTTATCCTTTCTTCCTCATTTCTAATCTTCCCTGAGTCTCAGCCTTAATCTGAACCACAGGACTTCATCCCTGGGGATGCACTTCATTTGGCTTTTTTATTTCTCCCCTGTCTTATTGGAGAAGCTGACTTCAATTCTTTACTAGCCTTAAAAGGATTTTTTGGTTGTTGGGTTTTTTCCCCCTTTAGAGTGACTAAAAACAAACAAACAAACAAACAAACAAAAAAACAAAAAACAAGAACTTTCTTATGACAACTGCATCCTGCTCCTGATGGGAATCTCTCACCAGCAAACATAACGCCTAAGTTAAGAATATTATACTTAAACTATACTGAAAATGTGTGAAACAGGATATGCTCCACATGCAACCAACCCTCTCACCCTAAAAAGCGATAATGAGGTCCTTGTAATTATCCGTAAGGCTCTTCTTCCAATCTGACCTCAGATCATGGCGAGAAAGCCATTCTACGGAACCTTCCTTCCCAGGGCTGCAAAGGCTCTGCACCACAATACAAAATACGATGGGAAGGACTTACAGCCCCATGACACAATCCCGATGTGAATCTGGGGTCAACCAGGGAAAGGTACGAAATGGGCAAACAAACACATCGTTTGTTCAGGGAAAAAATTGCTGCTGCACTGTACTGAGCCACCAGGTGACAGCCAGTACATATGAGCCGCAAGGACCAGGTGCCAAGCTGGGACAGCAAAAAAGAGGAGCATTGCTATAGTATGCTTCAACATGTGTCAAAATGCTGCACCATTTTAATGTCTTTTTATAAATAGTATTTCAAGAATATAGTATTCCTGCTAGGTGCCGAAATTTAAAATTTTTAGCTTTAAAATTCTGAGTTAAATATTTACTAGCTGCTTAGCAGAGAAAGCAGAAATTCTGTATCTATACCAAATATTTTTTCATCTATTTTAAAGTACATACTAAAATACTCACCATCAAAACAGCACTACGGTGGTACAAAGTACTAGATTCATCTGGGTTCAATTCCTGCCCCAACATAAACCAGCCACCTGAGCGTGATGTGGCCAACTTCTTGGAACCTAAAAGTTCATCAGAAAAACAAGAGGATCACCATGACCCTCAGATGGCTGTTGTAGAAGTAAAATGAGATGATACATGTAAAATCCCTGGCACAGGAGCACTTAACAAATGACTTACTATTAAATATATGATGAGACATAATTATAGTTCATTTAACAACATTTACAAAATTGACACGGTAACACAAGACTGACAGTACTCAAACACCACTACATATAACTTAGAAGGCTGCTTTTACTAATAAATGTACGGTTATAAATGAAAATAAAAATTGGAATAGAGCCACATTAAAACTTGAAGTCGGAATATGAAACTTGGGGTTCCCTTTGCTAGAATAAGTCTTCATAAACCTGTGATTTCAGTATGTGTGATGTGCAGGTGTCTACACAAGTGTATGGGGGCACAAGCACACACACGTTGGGGCCACCGCAGATTATCAAGGATCTATTTCCATCTCTGCCTTGCTGCCTTGAGACAGTTCTCCCACTGAGCTGCAGGCGCTCCCTAAGGTATTCTGGCTGGCCAGTGAGCTCTTAGGATTTGCCTGTCTCCACTGCACCATGATGGGGTTATGGACATGTGCAAGCAAGCCCTGCTGTACACAGGTTCTGAGAATTCGAACTTAAGGCCTTACCTGTCCATAAAAAGTGTTCTTATTCTCTAAGCCATGTCCTCAGCCCATTTGTATTTTAAACAGAGTCTTTGCCCCATCCAGCCTCATTTCTGGGTCCATTCAGCCTTATTTCTTCTTTCAGGATAGATTCTGTCTCAGGTGATAATACACAGATTCGTGCATTCAGTAAACATGTATCCATATCCTTTACAGAATCAGCCATCCTAACCAAGATAAACATGGTGACCAAGTTACTGCCCTTACAGAGATAACAACAAACACCACTGGAGAAGACGGAAAGAAAACGTAGCCAAATAAATCAACGCTGTTAAACCATGCCAATGCTTTAAAACAAGGAGCAAAATCCCTCAAGAGAAAAATAACAGGAGCCTACTTTAGACCTATGTTGAATGAAATAATTTTTCTGTAAGAAAAGCATAAATGTGAAGAGTGGTAAGAGTTTTGTCGAGAAAGGAAGAAGGGTTCTCTACGGGGGTGGGCTCCACGTGAAAAAAGCATGACACATTCCAAGAACTCAAAGCAGCACAGTGGCTGACGGGTAGAGCAATTCTGGAGAGTGGCCTCACCACACAGGCAGCGTGGAGAAAATTAGATTTGACTCTAAATGCAGCGGGAAACCACTAAACAGCTTTAATGAAGGAGTGGCAGCATGATCTCATTCATAGTTTTAAAAAGCTCTCTTAGGACAAAGGGATACAGAAGTAAAATAGGAGTGAGTTTAGCAAAGAAAAGCAGAAAACAAAATACAAGCGGCCAGAGATTAAGAAAAAGAGCTGAAGGAAAGGATGGGAGGAGAACCAGGGAGAGGCGGGATGGGGAGGGCAAAGCAGTGAGGATCTGCAGGAGAGGGAGAGAAATCTGAAGGGTGAAGAGATAGGAAGCCCCAGTAATAGTTCAATGACTGAACTGGTAGCCAACGTATCTCCCCTGCAGCTACAAATAACATTTCTATAAACCTCTGTCTTAGTCACTGTTCTATTGCTGTGAAGAGACAACACAACCAAGAAAACTCTCTTAAAAGAAAGCATTTAACTGGGGGCTGGCCTGCAGGTGCAGAGGTCAGTCCATTATCATCATGGGGACATGACGGCATGCAGGCTGACATGATGCTGGAGAAGGAGCTGAGAGCTGCCTCCTGATCACAGGCCCACAGAGAGACTCTGCTTGTCATGGACTTTTGACGGCTTAAAGTACCTGCAAGTGACGTGAGCTGATAAGTCAGAGGGCTTGCTGATAAAAGCAAATGACTAAGGCTGAGAGCATTCAGAGTTTAGGAATGCAGGACAGAATACTGCACAGCGGGGCAAGGACTCTGACCACTGTGGCACTCACAGAAGCGTGTGGCTGCTCCTCTGCAGACATACTTGTCTGTTACACTGTAATCTGTACCAGAGAGAGGGCACCTAGAGATGACCCTTCTTAATTACCAGAGCCCGCAAACATCTGCCCTAACCTGAAAAAGGGAAACAGGCAGATAGAAAAAGGAAAAAAAAAAAAAAAGACCTTGAGATGAGACTGTATCCAGGCAGAGCCCTTTAAAAAAGTTGAAGACAGGCCAGTCATAAGAGGCAAAGAGAGGTCATGATGGGAAAAAGTCGGAGGCAGAGATCTGAGATTCTAGACAAGGGCTGAGAAGATGGAAGGAGCCAAGGAATGCGGGGGCTTGCTGGACACTGGAAAAGGCAACGTGGACTCTTCCTTCGGAGAGAAGTATCACCGCCTTGCCCATACCTTCTTTCAAAAGCACCATGAAAACTCCTGACTTTTTATCCTGAAACCCTAAGACAGTAAGTCCATGCTGCTTTGAATATTCGTTAACACTTGGAAAGCTGAAGCAGGAAGACAAAGACTACAAAGCCTGGGCTGCCTAACAACACCCTGCTCAAAGCAATATTAGATTGGTACCTAATATTAGATTGGTACCAATATTAGATTGGCATATTATTAAAGGTTAACAGGTAACATGAAAT